CACCATTCACGGACCTGGCCGGCATACGGACGAGATGTGCTTCCTAGCAAAAAGACAACCTCAAATGCCATGACAGTCAAATATTTTCGCAATGAAGAGTCCGCTCCCGAAGATAATAACGAATGCAGGGGAAGCACTTATTGATACTGGTGCAGACGTGAACTTAGTGCGTCTTACAGAGGCCCCATTCATTCGTCAGCCGCACCGGACGCAAGCGATTTACGGGGCCAACGGAAAGCCTCTGCCCATCTCTGGGTATACAATCCTTGAGGTATCTCTACCTCACCTCGAAGAAACAGTGCAGATCTTTGCCTGGGTCACTCCCAGTCTCCCAGTACCTGTACTTATCGGTAGACCCCAATTGCTCGAATGGGGCATGCAAGTGACATTCGCTTGCCAAAAATTACCGCCGAAGGTCCAAGAATCATCACGCTGCCTTGCAATTAGCACATCGGAATCAGTTTTACCAGTGGCGGAAGTGGAACCAGTGCGGCTCAAGCTTCGTGACCCCGAATTACGTCCAATCGTTACCAAACAGTACGTATATCCATTAGGAGTGAGAGGACCATAGAAGATATGCTCGAAAAGGGGATTATCGTGCCATGAATGTCACCATGGGCGTTCAGGCCACGCATTGTTACTGCGCCGGGTAAACCGATGCGTATATGCGGCAACTACGTCCCTCTTAATGCACACCTGGTTGGCAACAGTTACCCACTGCCCAACATACAGGATACGTTACAAAGGGCCGCTCAAGGACGATACTTCGCCAAAATTGATTTGACTTATCGATCGATCCTTGCCTCTACCTACGCCGCCGTCAATCCCCATCTTGTGGACGAGGCCATTTGTCACACCTTCTCTGTCAATTACACTCACACTCGTTTTACGACAAGTCAGCGGCATCACCGCCTCGACTGGAGAGTTCACAACCACCGGAACAGCCGCCCCCTCAACACTAAGCGAGGTTTTGGAAGTCGTAGCCTCCAGGAAGTCCCTGTCATCGCGGAACTCCTGATAGACGCGGGATGTGTCAACGCGGATGCGCACGGCCGTTATCATCCCCTCGATGCCCGGTATAATGATAGTACGTGTCTCTTTACACTCGATGACCGCAGATGATCGACTTCCCGGATCGCCTGCACCGCCTGACTCAGTTCCGGCGGGTATCCCGACAGCGTTGGCAGTATGTGGATTGCCCATAGCAACTTCTCCAACGCCAGCGGTTCCAGAAACAGCTCTTTGATGAATTGCTCCGGTGCGGCTATCCGCGGGTATTCCGTGTAGCGTAGGGCTCTCGTTTCCAACACCGTTTGCATCCAGTCTTGGGGACTGGGCGGAGTCTGGAGTGGACTGAGGGGGGGCGGGGACGGGTTGGGGCGTGGAGGGTGATTGGCTTGGGGAGGAGGGGGCGGGGGGGGTTGCCTCCCGTCGATGAGCCGCTGCCTTGGCTTGGGCTGCCGCTATCCTGCGGTTGTCCTCCTCCAACATCTTCACGAACACTCCCCTGAGATCTAGGACTCTGCGCACGAACGGTGGGCGCTTCGACGCTGGCCGACTGTGAGTGCTCTCCTGACGCGGATCTTCTTCCGGGTCCATTCGTGTGATTATAATCTCTCTTGTTTTGTTTTTCAAGGGGCACCGTCACTTTGTTCAAAAAACTCATAACTGACGGGATCCAGTAGCTGTCGCCATAATTGACGCGTCACCACAGCACTGCCTGGAGCCATCGGGCGGGTATTTTCTTTTCAAATTTATCCCTTTTCACTTTCGTCAAACCTTCAAACATTTATTGGCAGGTGTGCTGGACCTGACTACCTGATTGTGTTTTAATGGGGGAGACCTATATGCCCGCTTCGCTATAAGCGTCACCAAATTTCTAAGTTCTTGTTTTTCTATTCGTCAAATGCGCATTAAAAAAATTAACAGCACACACGTGTGCGAGCGCCATTTATCTGGTCGCGAGACTTGGTATAGGACGAGGTGACGGATGAGTCGCGTGACTTCACCTCTGTGTTGTACTGCTGCATGTGGTGTTGACTCTGGGGTTGATGGCTGACGTTACTGTACATCTGTTGAGTAGTCGTGTATTGGTTCGAGGCAGTGTAAGGCGAGGAGTGTACGCTGCCGCTGGTCACCGCGCGAGGGTTGTTGCAGCATAGGTTCGACTGCTTAGTGGTGGCGTAGTTGCTTTCTTGCATAGTGCTCCGGGCCATGGCGTGACTTCCCATTTGGCTCATGGCTTGGCTGCCCGCCAGCCGGGTATTTGAGACGGACCTGCTGGTGACCTGATGGGTCAGGCTCGAGGCTCCAGGAGCATTAAGGGAGGTAGGTACTGAGTGTATAATAGTAGAGCTGCCTGTCTTCGAGACCCAGCCTTCGACTTTGATTCCGGAGGGCGCAACGAGGTGTTGAGCGTCTTGGGCACGGACAAAGTCGATCTTACCGTTATCAACGACGAACGGAAGCTCGTGGTCTTGGAGGTTCGAGTTGAGAGAACGGAGAATGGTATTGTATTGCGCGCTAGTAATATTGCAGAGGCGGTGGTGCGAGTTAACCAACCCGACAGCCTCAAGCGACTTTTCGACTGGCTTAGCTACGTGCACGTCCACAGGAATAACTTCTGGTTGAAAGTCACGCACTTCCACATCCACTACGCGAGTGGACTCGGAAATGATTGGCTTCGCAGTTTGAGCGATGACAACGGGCACATCAGCGTCCACGTGACGCGTCACGTTCACGATCTTCTCAGTGGTGAAAGGCTTGTCAATATAAATCGTCTCACCAGGAACCTCCACGACCTGTTCCACTGGTCGAGTTTTCTGAACGACGACCTCCCTGATGACCTCCCGCGGACGGTCCACGAACTGCTGCACCTTCTTCTCCACAACCACGTCATGATATTCCGGCACCTCCACCACCTTTTCAACCCAGTTGATCGTTGGAACTTCCTTCACACGATCAACGTACTCCACAACGTACATGGGCACCTCCTTCGGCACCTCCACAACCTGCTTCACAGGCACGTAGGTAATCTGCTCCTCGTAAGTAGGCACCTCCACGTACCGCTCAGTGTCCTGCGGGGCCGTTTCTAGGGCCGTACTCTCCACGACCACAGAGGACACCTTGCGCACCGAAGTCGGAGAGCTAGTGTCGTACTGCTGGCCGCCAGTCGTCGTGAACTCACCGCGTTGGCCACTCGCGTACTGACCGCCACTGGTATATTGAGTCTGATCGCCACCGGTATACTGATGAGTCTGACCGCCGCTGGCGTACTGCCGTTGCTGGCCGGTAGAAGTGTATTGGCCTTGCTGGGAGTACTGAGTCTGCGAATAATTGCCGCCTTGAGAGTACTGTGCACCGGTGAGTGATGCAGTAGTGTAGACTTCAGATGCGTTGGAAGCAGGGCCGTTGGTGGTTACTTGAATAGACATTTGCGGTCAACCAAAAAAATGCGAGATCGATTTGCCAATTTCTTCAGAAACTCGACCGGCATGTCTGTCTCCGCACACAAAATCAAGAAATATGCCTTTCCTTGGTTTCATTTGCTTCTGAACGATTTAGTCACTCTCCCAGGGGCTGGGATGGCTGTATGAGGGCTCTGGTGGTGCAAACGCGTGCGCGAGAACCTCTTTTTAATTCGGGCCTGATCGGGGTCTCGGTTCTTCTGCATCCTGAGAGCACGGTTGCCGGGGACACGGTTGCCGGGGACACGGTTGGTCAAGAATCCAGCGAAAAACATGTCGCGGCTGTGGAAGGTTCGGAAGCTGCGAGTGAAGTCTGCTGGCTCGCGAGTTACTGGCGGCTTTTGAAGGAGTCCGACTTTGCGATACTGGATGCGTTCATTTGCGCCAACCCCACACAGAGACAATTTGAGCGGGGGTTGAAATTGGTGAACCTGGGCGAGGAGTTTCGGGACTGGACCTTGACCTCACCTGCAGACGGGTCCACGAGGCCTGTGTATATTCCTACGTTGGGAGAGCCCACTGAGTTTGCAACCACATGTCAAAACAAAGGTATGACTAGCATCTTCCGGAATCGATACTCGGCCTACCGCGCTCTGCATGACTCCATTTCTGAGCAGGCCTGGAAGCAAATGCGCACGGCAGGTCCCGACGCTTTCGACTCTTGTAATTTGGCATATGTGGAGCTGGGAGCCATCGTCTCCTGCTACTACAATTCTCCCTATGGCCTGGCTGATATCTCCTTGCAATACAAAGTCGCCCGTAAGATGAAGACGGACTACAATAGCCGCTTCATCTATATCTGGATGGCTGGCTGCCTCTTGCAGCATGCAGGCGCCGACCTCAAACGGCTGACACACTTTTGCGCGACACAGCTCCAGTTCAACCTCATGACGCCGGTAGAAGGCAGACGCCGTCTTGAGTGCTTCAACTCTAGGAGACGTGTTCGACCATACCGCTCCAAGAACAACACTCCTGGCCGCCGACTCGCCCAACTCTCCGAGATCCTGACCGAACTACCCACTGTCACGGCCAGCGAGTTCGGCCAACTATACAAGAACCACAAAGACGACGAACGGCTCCGCATGCCCATACAAAATGAACCAAACCCGATGGTGATTCTGCAAATCAGCGAACTTGTGCGCGACAGGCTTGTCCTACGGACGAAGCGCAAACGAGCGGTAGAAACGGAGTTTGCCAACAGCCGACGACTGTTAGAACAGAAAGACGCCGCACGACCGGCACGGGGCGACGCTTCAGACTCCGGTAAAACTAAGTCTGCTACGACGAAACAACAGCCCCGACCAGCTATCTTGGAGATACCCCCCCTACACTACTTCGAAACTCACAAGCGCCGGATGGTTGATAGTGCCAGTCGACGCCGCGATGAAGTGCCCAACGATGGTCTTGAATCATTGAACGCGCCGGGTAACCTGAGTGATGACTCCCCTCTTGTGGGGAACCAGCGAGCACAAGACGTTAGTCAGGGGTTCGGGACCGTGTTCGATGACGACATTGAATTGTTACTGTCAATGCCCGAGCGGGAGAATTGGAGCAATATCGGAGCAGACAGCGTTTTGCGGGAGTCATCGGGTGACGGTGGCCCATCTGTAGTAGACACTCAGGCAGTGCAAGTCACTGACCAAGTGTTCGATGCTAGTCAAGGGTTCGGTACCGTGTTCGATGACGACTTTGAATTGTTACTGTCAATGCCCGAGCGGGAGAATT